AAGCAGGAAATGTTACTCAGATGCTATCTTCACTTTTGACTTTCAGAATTTGATTTTGGACTGATACTCCAGTTGTCTGTGTGGATCCAAAGCAGAGTTGGCTGCAACCACATGTTCTCTGTAACTTGATGGAAGTGAGGTTTTTTTGCTTGACTGACATCTGCCGGGGCTGAGCTCTGTCCTAATTTATTTTATAAAATGGTGCATTTTCCTTCATAATGCTGGTATTTCTGCCTTTTTTTTTTTTTCTTATTCAGAGCAGTTCTTGTACCTGGAGTTCTTTTGTGCTCCTTTATTTAGACTTAGTGCTTTTCATTTTGCCAGTTGCCCTGTTTCAGATTTTTTTAGTGCTTGTCTTAGTTGAATGAGGAGAGATAGCTGTGTTGCTGTACTTGGATCCATGTAGTCGTACAGGATTCTTGCTGTGAGGACAGGGACTGTTCTGCCCCCACCCTAGACAAATTCTGTAGTAAAAAAAACCCTTCTATTGCGTTTGCATAAGTAAAAGTTTGTACCTTCAAGATTTGAAAGTGCTCATGGGTGTTGATAGTGCCTCTCTAGCCAAGTATTAAATGGGAAGCTCTCATATACAGAAGAACAGCGACATGAGATGCTTCTTGTCCATCTCCTGGATTCTCTTGCCTTGAATATGTAAACTGTCTTCTCTTCACAAGAGCAAGCTCATAATGTGTAATTATGCATTAAACCCTGTGCTTCAGAAAGTATTTTTTGAATGTCTCTGAAGATAATTTCTGCTCATAATTTGTTGCAATTAGTGGCTTATATTGCAACCCAGTCACAGGAAGACAAAGAGTTTACAAGATGATACTTTTGTCACTGCCCAGCAAAGGCCAGATCTTACTTCTTAAAGGAGAAAAATCATGTTTTCAGTGGCAAAATCACCTACACACCAAGAGGAAGCTGTTGAACGTGAACTCAAAGAATTCACATCTCCTGTTACTGAAAAGACTTTTCTGGGCAACGAATGAGGATGACTTATTAGGGTTTACTGGGAACCTTTCATTAGTGGTCAAAGCTTTGCCCCAACAATGCTATTTCACACCTCTCAGTCACTCCAGAGAGCCCACTGAAAGAGAAACCTTGCCCGGGTTTGCCAAGTGTCCCGGTATTTCCGTGGATTTGCCACGAGATGGCGTCACCATCCCGCGTGGGTCGTGCTGGATCTGTGCTGGGTGGGGAATGTGGGACAGAGAGATGCTCCAAAAAGTGGGGTACGGGCAGCTCTGCGGGGGGGGATTTTGCAGAAAGCAACAGAAGTGGTTGTAAACTCTTGGTCTGTCCTCCCCAGACTGCTCTTTTTGTCTGCTGGTGTGTTTAGGTTTGTGCTAACAGCTTTTGTGTATTCCCTCAACCAACAGCTTGAGTTTATGTTGGATTAGCTTTGGGAAACTTCAAATTTAAACCTCAGGGATCTGTCGTAGGAGTGCTCCAGACCTTTTATCTGCTAGGAAGCAGTGGTGGGGGTGTTTGTTAGGGAATGTTGGTGTGCTGCCTTCTGTATTTGCTTAAAAAAATCACTATCTGTGCACCAAGGCTTAGGAGTTGTTCAACAGATCTACAGTGGGCAACTGTGGGAAAATCCTAGCTTTTGACCTTTTGCCCTTTGGAGATTATTCTTAGTGTGGTTAGGTAAGGTCTGTCTCGAGTAAAAGGCGAATTGCATAAGTAGAGATTGAAAAATCAAATCACAAATTTCTTGCCTGACTATTCAGTTTCCTCTCCAGCTTTACACACACACATCTTACAGTGTTTGCAAACATTATGTTGGGTTCTTGCACACGATTTTGAAATGAAAATGTGACTTCTTACTGTATCTTCCCTGCTTCAAAACTTTCCTCGTGCAGAATTGGTGTTGTTACATTCTTAACTCTTCCTGTTATTATTCAGAGAATAAACTATTTGTCTTTTCAGTCACTTTGAGATCCTTGCTTTGTTGTGCTATGAAGTGCAACGTGGACCTGTTGCTATTTTTTTTGCAAATCATAGAATCATAGAATGGTTTGGGTTGGAAGGGACCTTAAAGATCATCCAGTTCCAACCCCCCTGCCAGCAGCAGGGACACCTTCCACTAGACCAGGTTGCTCAAAGCCTCATCCAGCCTGGCCTTAAATACTTCCAGGGAGGGGGCATCTACAACTTCCTTGGGCAACCTGTTCCAGTGTCTGACCACCCTCACAGTGAAGAACTTCTTCCTAATATCTAATCTAAACCTCCCCTCTTTCAGCTTAAACCCATTTCCCCTTGTTTTGTCATTAGTTGTCGTTAGGAAAAGCCCTTCCCCAGCTTTCTTGTATGGGGGGGTTGTAAATTGGCAAGACTCCTGTGCTTTGGAAGTACTGCAACTAGGATGTGAGAACAGTAGCAGGCAAGTGTGCAATTTTCTACAGATGATATAAATGCTGAACTGGAGGTTGGAGGAGGGGGAACAACTGTGCTGACACTTGTTTCAGCCTAACACAGAGAAAAGTATGCAGTTGGGAGTTAGCTATGGTCAGTTTGTCCTGTGTGACCATCTAGTAACTTTGCCTTGTGCTTGCAAATGTAGTTAGGATTAATTTCCCCCCAAATCTGAGGTGATAATCTTGGGATTTGACTCTTGGGATGAGAAAGGAGATGTTGCAGGCAGACAGATGGAGCCTGTACCAGCAGACCAAAAAAGCAATTGCCCCATTCCAGCCCTGAATGTCATTTCTTGCCATGGTGTGTGGATCTGTCAAGCTGTTTAGCTGCAATATGACAGATTGTCCTATTAATGTGTCATCAAGTGCACTTTTACAAATTCATGGCTTGTCTACAACTAACCTGAAAAAAGAGGCTTAAGTATGAGAAGGCGCCAAAGAAAGTTAAATATTATTAACAAATAAAGTCTGCCACGTAGTTTTGATGGAATGTGAGCTGGTTGGGGGAGGGGTGATATGCTGTTAACTATTTAGCTTCTGTGTAACTTGCCTTCTTACTCTCTTCTCTTTCCCAAACTCTGTTTCTCTCAATAGATGCTTAAAAAAAAATAAAAATAATCTATATTCTACTTCTTGATTTTTGCACTCAGATTCTTCATGCCTCAGTTTCCCTGAGCCATAGATAATAGAGCTGTTGCTTCTGATCCACCCTGGCTGCCTTTAAAGTCCAATGAAGAAGTGTGCTGGCATTATTACTTGGATTACAGATGGCATGGTAAAGGGATTGTTAAAAGAAAACAAGTATGTTGCTTGCTGATTGCTTAAGGGACTTCAAATTATGGGATCTGCAACCTTTTATCACTTTTGGACTTTCTCATGGTACAAGCTCAGATGAATTTGTGTGTTGTTCTCTGTTATTTGTAGAAAGAATAGGAATATTTGTTCTAGGTGGTGGGGAACTGACAAAGATTTGCAGACTGTCCACGTACTTCAGGATCTCCCTTACGAAATGCTTTTAGGAGATGTGTCACCTTTGGTTTTCTGTTATTTTTAAGAAGCAGCCCACCCTCCTGTAAAGAAATGGGAAAGCCCCCACTGAGCCAGCTTCTAACGAGAGCCAGGGGAAAATGTTGTGTGGAGCACAGCTAACTAGAGTATAAAGCAAGAGTTCTGAGGTACTGGTGTGTGGTGCGATGCTGAGTGCATATTCCAAGCCACATATTTTTAGCTCTACCACACACTCATGTACAGTTTTACAAACTTCCCAGAAAAATGGTGATTTCTCTGAGATAATGAAGGGGAGGTACAGAATAGGGCTGAGGGGAGGGAGCAGGGAATGGGCATTGATTTAAATCTGCCTGGCACTCGGGCCAGCTCCACTTATCAGTGAGTCTAATAGGAATGTGAAGAGAATAGGCTTGACAGCTCATTAGAATGTGATCCCTCCTCCCTTTTTTTTTTTTCTTCTTTTTTTTTTCCCCCCCTTTCTTGAAGTTGATGGAAACTCATTCAGGAAAGAAGTACTTATTTGCTGAGGTAAAGCAAAAGCTGAGGAGGATTTTGCCAGTGTGCAGCTGAGGAGAGAAGCAGCGAGAAAAATCAGACGTGATCTACGCTCAGAGGTACCTGAAATCTTACCTGGTGTGAGGGGTGATGAGGATGAAAAAGACATGAGATTCTACATCCTGACAGCTGCTTGCGGCATCGGGACTTGCTGCTCATCGTCTCGTTAAAGAAAAGTGAAGATAAAACCCAGCTAGAGAGGGACAGAAGCTAGACTTGGGCAAACTTTATCTGCTCCTAATGGACCTAGGTACATCCTCAGATTCTTTGCTTCTCCCTGTTTTAACTTTTATGATGTGAGAAATTTATTTTCTCCTTAGAAGGCTGAGCACTTGGCTGTGATGCTTTCAGCTTCTTCATAAGAGCAGTGGCTGTAGCAACCTTGGGTTACAGTTCCCCAGCATCTGGAAAGGAAAGGATGAGGACTTGTCACTGAGGAAAGGGAAGTATCATTCAAGAGAGGATGGATGGAAGTATTCAAACCTGCTTTGAACTTAACACGATGCTTCAAATGACAGAAAGTGAAATCTGTTGAAGAGGAACAACCTAACAACCCCCCTAATGAGTTTGTGTTGTCAGCTCTGGCCTGAGCAACTGCTGCCCTGAGCAATTTGACTTCTCCGTGTTTCATAGTTGAGTGCATTTTAAACGAGTCTGAAGACTTATTGGGGCGGGGGGGGAGCAACACTTCAAGGTGGGTGGCAGGACTTTCCAGGGCCTCTTGTATTTATGTAAGCTTCAAGAGGCTGAATGGACTTACCTCTTTCTTCGAGTGAATCCAGATTTTCAAATAAGTTTGTCTATACCATTTCCATGTGTCCTGCTTGAACAGAGATCTCTCCAGCAACCAGCGCATCTGTGCGTGCTGCTCATTTGACATCGCATAGCCCAGAGGATCATCTTTAATAGTTCTGATTTTTTTCTTTAGAGAGAAGTCTGTGTCTATTCCTATTATTGGTGCTGAAGGATTTTGTGCTTGCAGAGTGCCCTTCCTGACTTGGCCCCTCCCTTTTCAAAATGAAGGGGTGCACCTGGGTATTTGTGGCAACTTTACTTTGTCAGCAGTTTTGCCTCTTCAGAGTTACAGCAGCAAAGAGAGAGAGAAAGATGAGGAAAGAACCTAATCAGTACACAGAGCCTTTCAATGCTACCCTCTCAAACAGTGAAGAGCTGCATGGGCATCCCAAGGTAGGTGTTTATGTATTTTCACTGCTTGGTAGAACTTATTTCTGGCAGTAATGTGATGCTGGTTCTTTTTTCCAGTGATTGAGGCAATCTTGCCAAATTCTGTTTGATTTTAAAGAGAAATGTTCTCTCTTTTGCCTTTGCATGATTGATTTTCTAGCTTACTGAAGCAAATGCTGGAATACTGTAATTTATTGTAATTTATTTTAGAATATGCATGACAGAAGTTCCAGTCTCATAGTAGCTGATTAAGTGTAAAGACATTTTGGAGTCCTAGTTTATGAACACTATCTTGTTTAGAAACAACTGATTAAAAAAAGGCAAGTGGGCTATTGCAGTAAAATAATGATACTGGAATATTAATGGATCTCTTGCAGGCAAACCCTTTACTTTATGCAATGTTATTTCAAAACTGTCTTAGACAACAGTATAAACACCCAGAATCCTTTAAGATGAAAGCTTACACAGAATGTTTGGGAGTAAGAGTGGAGGTTAGGGAATTAAAAGTGGTCCTAGGATTAGGAGCAGGATTAAATGGAAGGGAGACTACAACACTGAGAAAGGAGGGAGTCTCCCCTATCACACAGCCCCTTCTCTCTCTCTCCTGCTCACACAAAAATGTCCCTTGTTTCAAATGGAGGTGACCTCTAAAACATGACTTTGATCACCAGCATTAGGGATGGCAGTCACTATAGCAATAGAGGAACAAACCTGGCAAAAATTGGGGCATGGCAGAGGGGGCAAGTTAGAACAATTAGGCTGACATCCTAAATATCCTCTTCAGTGTCATTGTGAGAGTAATTGGTTAAGGTTGGGCAAGTCTGGGAAACAGTCCTCTATATAAAAAAGCTGGCTGCTGCACTTAAAAGTATCATTAGGGGACTGCAAGCAGCGTTTCTTCAACTAATTTGTTGTTGTGTATTGCAGGGCTCTGTCAGGACAGGTTGTATACATGCTAAATTCTTGGGGTGCTTATAATCAATCACTTTCTCCTCTCTCTAGAATGGCTTCATCCTGCTTTTGCAAAAGGAGCCAGATACATATCTGGTGCAACTAAATTTCAGTGTATTCTGGAATTAATTTGGCTTGATGTGAAATGTATTGGACTGCAAGCAGAACATATTCTGATTGTACAAGCAGGCAGAAACTGGTCCTGGTTAATTCTGATATGGTCACACATACATTACTGCTAGAAGAAACACAGTATTCATTTGGAGGCTCGTTATTTGTCATTAAAACAGACATTGCTTGGAAGCTGCAGTTTCTGTGTTGAAATATTTTGCTTTAAAATAGCCCTGGCCAAGGTTTGGCTGCAGTAAGAGCTGCTGAGTTCAGTGAAGGCAGGTTCTGTTTAATAAGGATAGGATGAAACCAAATCTTTTCTGCAAATGCTTATGAGCTCTGTGTGATATCCACTCCCCAATTTTGCAATGTGAACTTTTCTCCTTGGAATCTGTTTGAGGTTGAAATCCAGGTTCTAGTTAAGTGTTGCTTCTAAATATCATGGGTGACTGTATTGTATTTTATATTTCTATAGCACCTGCCCCAGCTAAGGGATTATTTTACACATATTATAAATGCAGTGCTTAAGAATTGCCACCATTTCTGGAGTGAATGACAGTTGCCATTTACAGCAAAGCATCACAATTTGTATTCACTAAGGGAAGAAGTAAACAGTGAAGCTATCCTTACCCAACCTATCCTGCTAAAGGAAGGATAAAAGCAGTTCTCTGTGGAAGATTGATCTCTTTGAGCCTTGAAGGTACTTAGGTGAGCAGTTTTGTTTCATGAAAGGATGCCCTGCATGGGAAAGTGAAACAGCAGCCGTGTCCCATTTCATTTGTCTGCAGCACATAGCAAGAAAGGCGGAATTTTTTTTGGCCTTGTACAGTAAAAACTGAGGCTGTGTTTACCTTGGAAGACTCTGTAGCCAGCTGGTAGGTTTATCAAATTAGGAATGAAAGATTAGCTGAGAGTAGTGATTTTTATTCATGCTATTGAAAAGGTGGATGCGTTTTCCTTCTAATTAAGCAAAACAATTTGGGACAAATTTCTTTTGGGAATTCTTTTAGAAATAGGATTGCATAAAGCTCCTCTTTATCATTCACAGTGCATGAGTCTTGTGCTGAAACCTCTACCTAAAACAGGGAACCAGAAATCTCAAATCTTCTGGTGAACCTGATATTTCCAAGGAGATAGTGTGTTGGGTTTATGTTTGTTTGGGTTTTTTTCCAAGTTTTTCTCCAGTTGTATCTTGCTGAGTTGCTGTCAATGTGATGTGCTTGCCAAGCATGTGAGAGTTTTCCTCTCTGACACAGATGGGCTAAGAGAAGAGAGAGCAGAACATGACTGATGAGGATACAGAGGTTTTAATCTACTGGACCTTCTTACTTTGTGTGTGGCTGGGTACCTGCAGCTGCCACTTGCAAGACAGGTTTGCCTTCCCCTTTCCAGGCATAGATCTTGTCTTAGAAGATGTGATGTTCTACTAACAGGAGCTGATCAGTAGTAGGCTATTCAGTGGTTCTATAGGGCTGACACTGATCAGGAGTTGATACCTGAGTAGAGGGAATGAAGATGGAGTCAGACTCTTAATGCCCAGTGAAAGGACAAGAGGCAGTGGGCACAGGTCGAAATACAAAAGATTCCACTTAAACATCAGGAAAAAAAAGCTTCTTTACTGTGAGGATGGTAAAACACTAGAGCAGGCTGGACAGAGAGGCTGTGGAGTCTGTTCCTGGAGACAGTCAAAACCTGACTGCACATAGTCCAGAGCAACCTTAGAGCAGGGGATGTTGAACTAGACAATCTGTGAATGTCCCTTCCAACTTGAGCTGTTCTGTGAGCTGCTTTTAGGGGTAGTTCAGCTAAGAAACTCAGAGGCTGCATCCTAACCTGAGGAAAATTATTGACTCAGCATCCCAGTGAAATCACAGGGTTGATTTGAGGTCAACAGGATTTTACCTTCAGTGGAATTTCTGCAAGAAGTAATGTAATGTTTTTAATTCACTTACCCACTATGTAGCCAGGGAGTCCTTGAAATTTTATTTCCTTTGTGATCCTTCCATCTCTGTCAAATATCTAGGGCTAGGTCTATGTGGTTTATTACTTAAATCTCTCTGAATTATTTCTTTGGGGTCTTTTGCTTCCAATTGAAAACAGCAGCTGGCTCGATGACATTGCACAGATTGCATTCCTCCTCTGTAAAGAGATTTCAGTCTAGTTTGAAGTGTGTGATTGCATGTGTAATTGAGAAAAGTATTTTTGAGCCTGACAATTGTTAAAGCCATGGGAGAGACTGAACTGTGACCTGTCTGTAGTAGATGATGTTATCTTTCATGTTTTGTGTCTGGCATGTTATGAACCAGAAGGGCTGTAACAATGTGCTTCCTAGCAATTCCTCGTGGCTCATATAAAATAATGTTAGATTCTTACATCTGACTGAGCATATCAAATAATTCAATGCTTGCTCTCGTATCTCAGAGCTGTTTGGAAGCTTTTTAAAGCTCACTACTGCTGTATGTAGTCCTACATCAGATGTGGTTTTGTGTGCTAGGTGCATTATGCTGCACCAGTTCTGTTGGTGCAGTTCTGTACCTTCCCTTTCTGTGGTGTCCCTCAAGACAGAACTCGACTGGTACATCCATTGCAGTGCACCAAACACAGCAACAAACATCATGTTGTTTTCTCACCCAGAGTAGATCTTGCTCACATGAACTGTTCCATTAGATTAATTTATTGTGAGGCAGTTTGTATTTAAGTGAAGGGGAGAAGCTTTTTGAAATAGTCACTTAGAGAAGTGAGTAATAATTTTTCAATCACAAAACATAGTGGGTATTTAGGTAGGAATTCCATTTTGGATTTGGCTAAGATACCAAACCTAACACTTCTACCTTAGGGAAAATTCTTGAGAGATCTATAAAAACCACAAGTGGTCAGGGACCTTGGTTTTACATCTCATTAATAACCAAGAGTCTGTATAACCATAAGTTATTAGCAGCTAACATAGGATTTCTCATGCTAAAAAAAAAAGAGTGGTCTTTCACTTTTTAACCTGTTCCAAGTAAAATACACTACTGAAATAAATAATTTGCTCCTAATTTCATAATGCAACTGACAATACTCCTGCTGGTGTAAATCAGGTGTAACAAGACAGAAGTTGGTGGATTAAGATGATTGAAATGCTTAGGTCCATTTTGTGTCTGGCAAATGCTTATAAAGAATTTAAAAATATAATTCCATCACAAATGGACACATACACAGATAACTGAGCAAAACTTGCAGGGCAAGTGAATAATGTGGACTGGAATGGTTAGGTATATGTTCATGGACACGCATCTCTGACTAAATGCAGGTGGAAAGGATGCTGTCTCACAAAATTGTAACCTTTTCATGCTTTCTTTCCATCCTCACCTACCCTGGGAAATGCTTAGGTGTGCATGAGAACACTTGGAGATGCAATTAGGTGTACACTTGCTCACAGGTAGTGTTGACTTTTTTAAAATTATTTTTTAATTAATCCAGACTCTGAAACTCCTGTCGTCCATTTCACTTTGGTTTCTAGCAGAGATGCAGACTGGATCCCAGTATCCTTGAATTTCAGGAAAGTTCAGATACAGTTCAGAAATTTCTCAGGATCCAAACTCTGCTACTTGACTGTAGATTCCTGCTAGTAGTGTCTTCCATGCTGGCTGAATCTTGGCCAGAGACTGTGTGTGTCTCTGGGCAGTGTGTGCTGTTCTGGGAGTTAGAGACAGAAAGAACCACAGGTTCTGCTTGTGGAAATTACAGCTCAGCTTGCCTTTTATTGTGAGGGAAGTTAGGGAGAGAGTGGGCTAATTTCTCATCAGTGTCATAAACTGGTTCTGAAGCCATAGGTGCTGCTGTATTTGGATTCCAAAGTAATGTTATAAGACCTGATTGAAAGTTCATTAAAAATTGCTGGCAAGGCTTCTGTTGATTTTGGAGGTACTGTTCCCAGTGTGAAGGAGGAAGCCTGATTTCACTGGAGTTAAGGTGAGGATTCCTCCTGACTCCTGAAGGTTAGCTGTGCTCTATAAACAGCACCCCAGGAGGGACAAGTCCCCTTTGCTGGGATTCCAAGGCTGTTCTCAGTCCTGACTGATACCTGAGTTGGCTGCAAGGTCTCTCTGGCTGCTGGAGGCTGCTGCTGCCAAGAAAAATAGAGGCTTGCATGCTTATTGCTGGGATTGCTCATGCATGCCATAGTAATTAAATAATAATACCACAAGGATGGAACATTCATTTTAACTGTCAATCATCCTTCTGCTGGAGAAATTGGGGAGTGCCATGACTGTCTTGTAGAGGGATTTGTAATTTAAGCAAGCCACTGGAGAGGTATGAGATTTTTTTTTTTATTTTTATAAACTTAGGGAGTTTTTCATTTATTTTTCTGGAATATGCCATCTGGATTTCTCTTTTTTTCTCTCTGACAAGATGTCTGCTCTGGCCTGTTTCTTCACAGCTGGAGCTCCAGAAAGGCTGAGGACATCTGTTTGTCTTCACAGTTAATGGTCAGATTCTGCCTATGATTGCTGGCTTCTGCATCTAGCTGGCCTGCTTCCTCATTTTGCAATAAAGAGGAGTTTATGCCTGTCTTGCAGCCTGGTGGAAACCAGGAATATTTGAATAGTCTCTTCCACATCTACAGCAAATGCTGCATCCCAGTTCCTAAGACTCTGGAGTGTTCTGGAGACTGTACTTCTGAGTTCCTGCCACATGAGCCAGCCCTTTTTGAAGAATGAACTGATTTTATTTGCCTTTCCTCTGCCTTTTGCAGGCTTCTGTTACAGCACTGAGGGAATACTCCATCCTGCCTGAGCTGGGTGCTTCTATTAATAAGTTGCTTCCTTCTGTTTTGTGAACTGCACTGCAGCTTTACCACAGGCCTGTCAGTCCCAGTGTCTGGGGCAAAAAGACGTTGGTGTCCTTTGGGCAAAGCACAGGTGGGCTTTTACCTGCTTTATTTTATTTAGGAGCTTTGTAAACTTCAGTGCTCATTAACACAGTCCTCTGCAGGTGTGCTGCACCCATCTGTTTTCAAATGGAGTGCCTAAGAACTAGCTTCTTTCATCAGAAACCATTAAATCCTCATCTTCTGCTGGTTTGTAAGTCAGCTGTTGACACAAACTGTTGGAAATAAATAGTTGTGATCACATCAGCTCAGAAATCTATGGACAAGTGCCTTGTACTACACCCGTGTGCTGGGGTGGGATGCGTGCCAGAGAGAGATCTTTCTAGGCTCTGGATCAGCTTAGAAGCACCAACATTCCTTGTAACCTCAAGCTGGAACTCCAGCTGACTTCTAAGATTTAATTTTGAATCAATTTATGCTGCTTGGATTTTTCATAGCAGATCACACAGATTATGGTCTTTTTTTTTTTCCTCCAAATGGACTTGCCCAGATATTTCTAACTAAAATTTGCAATCCTCTGTCCAATCCCTGTTGCTCTTGGAGAGTGCCATATAGTGCAGTTAGAAGGGCTTCAGCTCTACCTGCATCTTAAAGGTTAATTGTTTTCCACGTGCTTCTGTAGACTGATGAAAAAAGAATCTATGCTTATAAATGGTACTAGAAATGTTATTAAAACTCAATACAGTTCTCCAAGAAGCAGCAAGTGCTTTAGGGAACCAAGTGAGACAGGTAATGAGCAAGTGTAGATGTGTTTGTTAACTTGTCTGCATTGGAAGCACCTTGCAAGGTCACTTAATCATTTAATTCTGATTGTATCTGAGCAATGAGCAATGGGAACCAGGGAGTCCAATAGGAAGTGGACCCGAATTTGTAAAGACAGATCCTCTCTTCTGTCCAGATTTTGTTTAGAAGGGATCCAGAACTAGACACTGGAATGTCAAAGCTTCTCTAGATAATTTCTCTGTGGCTGCAATATACTTGCAGAGCATAGGATTGGGCAAGGGAGTTAAATTTGCCAGTGGACATCTTTTCTGTGATCAGACATGGACTTTGGTTTTCAATGTGAATTGGGTTGGTTTTTTTTCCTGTGTGCACATTTGTCACTCTACAGCCTGTGATTTGAAAATTATGGAGCATTTCAAGGTTTTCTATACGTTTTAATCTCCCTTTATTGCTTGATTGAGCAAACTGATAAATGTCAGATGCCAGTGGTGAACGATCTCTGGCATCTGGGCAGGTTTTCTGTGGCATTTATTATGACTGTCAGAGGGCTGAGAGAAGGGTCTCTGAGGTACCCTGGCTCCCAGCTCTTGGCTCTTACTGATTTCTTAAGCAAAGGGAGGTGGAAGGCCCTGCAAGCAATAGCATATTAAGTTATGAGAAGGCATTTTGATGTTTTAAGGGTAGCATCTTCTGGCTTTTGGAACATTTCTGTTGGCAGACTTTGTGTGTAACTTACAAAGAAAAAAATCCCACTCTACCAGGACTCTTTGAAAGGCTCGTGTCTTTCATACAACGTCAGAACTCAGGTTGTAGTGCTGTCTTGCATTTGCAATGCTGCTGTAATTGAAGACAGAAAGTGTCATGGTACAGGGTAATCCAAATGGAATTGCTTGTTACAGAAGCATAAAATCCCACTTCATCTGACCTTCAATGTCATCCCACATTCACCATGTTTGGATCAAGGATGTGGCTTAGGCAGCAGGCAACAGTCTGGTCTGGAAACTTTGCATTCTCTGAATCCATGCAGTGGCCAAGGAGATAAAGTGCTATCAGTCTTTGTTCTTGTTTCTCTTTAGATCCTAGAGTCTCCAGATCCTCGAATCACCGATCCACGGCGGACCTGGATCTCCTTTGTTCACCGCCCGGATGATGGCAATACCTCTAAAAGGAGATGCAAAGGGAAAGACAAGAAATTAGTAGGTTATTGCTAGATTGCCATCAGCTAATAAATGTGCACCGTGGCTTCCTTTCCTACTGCTGCTATGCAGGGTGTTCTGTATGCTCCAGCTTCTGCCTTCCCACCCCACAGTGGGCTATGTTTTCATTTGTTTGCATTTAATTTCTCCAAGTATTTTGGAGAAGTTTGAGACAGTAAGTACTGTATGCTTTGTAAGGTAAGGTGTGTGAATTCCACTTCAACATTCATTTTTGTTTAAACAACCTGTTTCTTGGACTGAGCCTTTTTTTTTCTTTTTTTTTCCTGGTCAGTAGAAAATAAAATTAACTTTTTTTTTTTTCTTCCACTAGATAAAGTCCAGGTATCTTAAAAGATATATTAATCAAAGTGTGGACAAGTTATTTCAAATTAATGAATTAGTGATCACTCTGCTGAGTGATGCTTGATCACATGTGCACTTTTAATCTGCTGCTTAAACGATTTTAAATGCTTTTAATGATTTCCTTTTATTTCTGACTGAGCTGATAGGCAGGAGTGCTTCCATGCAGGTTTACTGCACTTTAGCTGAGGAAACAGGACCTCCCTGGAGACAATATACATCAAAATAGCCTTGATGACTCTGTTGCATGTTTGTACTACTAGTTTAAAGCTCTGATGTGTGTGTTCCTAACCTTTACAGGTGTTTTGAATGAACTGTGTCATTTTTTTAATGGGAACTCTACTATCACATCAAACATTTGAGTATGTGATCATTATGTCTGAGCAATATGTATTAATAATGTAAAGTGTGGCTAGAGGGTTATTCTCATTAGGGAATAGGCAGGATAAGAAGCTGCAAAGCTAGTGTGTTACTTTGGTGGTATGAGAAGATACAGAAGCAGCAAATTTAGTCTTCATAGAATCATAGAATGGTTTGGGTTGGAAGGGACCTTAAAGATCATCCAGTTCCAACCCCCCTGCCATCAGCAGGGACACCTTCCACTAGACCAGGTTGCTCAAAGCCTCATCCAGCCTGGATGAGCCAGTCTTGTGGCTGTTGTGCCTCACACTGTATATCTACTTGAAGAACTAGTTAGTGAGGAACTAGTTACCTGAGCAAAGTTTATCCTCTCACATAAAGAATGAGTAAATTCCAAGTGCTGGAATTCACAGCTGGTTGGAGAGTCAGTTTCAGATTTACTGCATCAGGCCTGTAGTTGAACTGATAGTGGAGGGAGCTGCTCACCTGGCTGACAGCCCTGTAGAGCTGGCTCATGGCTGAGTTGTTTTTTTTTAGTCTGTCAGTGCAATTGCCTGGTTCTAATTCACATGTTTTTCTTTGGTTACTTCCTTAGCGTGGCCTTGTTGGGCCCCCAGGACCTCCTGGCCCCCAGGGACCTCCAGGAGCCCCTGGTGCTGAAGTCACCCGGGAAGTCCTTCTGCAGGAGTTTAAGGAGATATTAAAAGGTAAAGATTGTAAGAGCTTTGTGCTTTTGTGATCTGCTTCTTTTGGTAAGCACCATAGCAAGTAAAGAACTGGCTTTGCAAAGGTTTGCTTTAAAGCATTCCCATATCTGGCAATCAAAAATTTGAAAGAAATGTTTCCCAGTGTTGCTTAGTTCAAGTTGAAGAGCTGAGTGCAGAATTCTAATCGCACAACTCATGGCTTCATAGCCCAGGCTCTTAAACTAAGCCTTTATTTTCCTCTACTTTTCCTTTTCTTCTCAGAAGCTGTTGAGCGTCGAGCATCCCTGGCTATTTCAGCCCATCCTAGCCAGCTGCCTCCACTCCTGCTCTCCTTGGAGGAAGTTTCGCCCCACAGACGCGTAGAAGAGGCATTCCATTGCAAGCTGAAAGGACAAGTCGTTGTAGATAAGAAGACCCTGGTAGAACTTCAGAACTTCCAGTCGGTGAGAAGGGATTACAGACTGAACCTGTGCAACTCCACAACAGCCATTGTGCGTAGATCAGCTATAGTTCCCCTGGTCTGCAAAGCTGCTAGGTGGCTCTGGAGTAAGATGGACATTTAGCTTTGAGTCCTCTCCTTCCTGACAAACCCAAAAGGCAGACTTCCTTCCTCTCTTGCAGGCCAACTGAATCTCATGACAGATCTTACTGAAGTTCTAACAGGTCTGTGCAAGAGAAGGCTGTCCCACAGGTCCAAACAACAGTCAGGCTTTTTATTTCAGTTAATGATGGAGCAAGACTTGTCCATGTTTGGCATTAGTCTGAAGGATCTGTTCTTTATTTTGGTGCACACCCTGTTTAATTCCCAATTAACCTTCGATGTAGAAAAATGTCAGAGGCAGACAGAAGCTATTGATTATAGATTTGTGAGCCCAAATAAGAGCCATCATTTTGTTAGATGGGCCAGCCCTGATGCTCAAATTCTTTACCTCATGTTTCATAGAAGACTAATAATAAAGTTACCTATATAATTTCATTATAGTCATGTTATAATGCCAAGCACACAATCACAGGATGCTGTGGGGCATTATAAGCAAGGTTACGAGCAAGCTAATGAATTTGATATTAAAACTTCTACTAACAACTTCTAAACCAGTTGCAAATAGGATCTGAATTTGAAGTGTCAATGTTAGGCAAAGTAATAGCTAAAAACAGATAGTTACTTAGTAATTGAGGAGATAATATTTTAGATTATTTAGTTAGAAAGACTGTCTGAATAGCACAAGGCCTTCAGATACATGGTTGCTTTTGTGATGTGACAAGAAGAGTTTGAAGAGTATGAACAGGGAATATGGCTTTCCATCAGCTGGGTTTGTCAACACAGTTCATGTAGTAAGGTGCTGAGCTTTCTTCTCAGCTGTACTGAGTCCCATTTCTGAAGAATCCTATACAGCAGATCCTTTCCTATGGAGTAGTTTTGCTGCTCAGACTTCTCACAGCTGCAGGACTAGAGGCAGTGGTTATGTTCTAAACAGGGTGCTTTCCTGGATCTTTCCCAAACACACTTGTGGAAGCCTGGTTTGACAGCACTGTGGGTGCTGGCACAGAGGCAAGATTGTACTTGAAGTGTGGGCAGGGCTAGAGAGATCTGCTGCCTCATTAATTAGGAGGGAAAATGTGAATAAAGACATCTCAGCAATCAGTGCGTAGGCTGATGCTTCCCATGCTTTGTTATCATATGCCTAGCTGCTTTCTAATTGCTTCTGGCCCTGAAGCTGATGTGGGAGGGCTGGCAGGCCTCTGGATACCAGCCCTCCATTTCAGCTTTGGGACAAGAAGTGTCTGGTTTTAGCTTGTGCCCTGATATAGGGGAATTTAGCAGGGAAGGAGACAGTGGATGCTCTTGCAAAGATGGAAACATTGTCTTTAAATAGTCCAGGGCAGAGAAAGAGGGAATGCCCCTCCCTTCATTCTGTCAGTTTAATAGTGTGAAGAAGCCAACAGTTTGATACTTCTCAGTGAGATGATAGGGATTGACTCTAATTCCTGGATTTGGACTTTACCCAAAGCATTTTGAGATAGTGGAAAGAAACTGTGCTGAGAAACCATCTCTCACTTCTATAATCTGTCATTTGAGTATGGGATCTAAGTCACTCTGACCTTGAGTGTTGAGAGAACATGATGGTTTGCTCATCCTTCCATGCTAAATTTCCTCCAAGAACATTCCCTCTCTCTCTCTCTCTTCCTCTTGGTCTCACAATTTCCTTATGCTAAATTTCCTCCAAGAACATTCCCTCTCTGTCTTCCTCTTGGTCTCACAATTTCCTTGGTATCTGGAATGAAACGTGATAGTTCATTCCTCACACCTCTTCCTCTTGTGTTGCACATGTTAAGGTTTTTAACGATTGCCTCTTGCAAAAGCTGTCAGTAAGGTACTTTACACAGCAAGAATTGAAGTCACTGTAGCTTCTGACAGGCTGTGGAAGTGGGATTTATCTGGGGCCCAGGAATGTTACTGAAATCAGATCATTTAAGGCTAAGGTGGCCCACCCACATGCTTTTCATGGTGAAAGATCCTAGAAGGAGTCCTGATGTCTCTAGTGCCTTGAGGTCAAGCTAAACATCTACCTTTGGCAGTTGAAATTTATTGCTGCTTCGGGAGATTGGTGCATCCCCTGTGTGTTGTGGTTGTTGTGCAGGCTGGGTCATCCTTTCCTTTAATAACAGATAAGTCAGATATAACATTGCTTTCCACAGTGTTTATCACTGAAAAGTGAAACTGGCAGTTCACGGCTCAATTCTCTGCATGGTTCCTCTTTTCCACCTGGAAGTAAATATGGAGTGTATGAGGGAGATGTGGGGATTGGAGATGAGCTGAGGAAGAGAATGGTTTGTACAGAATGGCTGGACACTAACTTGTTTCTTTGCTTTTTGGTCTGTTTACTGAAATAAGTGTGTGCAAGTAGTTAATTTCACAGATCTAATCCCAGCAGTGTTTGAAGCAGCTAGGTGAGTATGCTGCTGTGAGGCAGCAAATGCAGCAGGGAGCGTTAGTTGGCGTGGGGTTTAATGGAATATTTTGCCCAGAAGAACCTCTCCCTGCATTGTCTGTCTATTTCTATGAGCAAAAGAATAACAAAGCCACAGAGGGCATGAAGAAACAGGAACGTTTTATCAGTGATAATTTACTGTTGCCTAAAATTGCCTTCCATGCTCAGCCAGTGGTTTTGGAATTATGTTGCTGATTCTGCTAATAGCTGTAACAAGAAAGGAATGAATTAACTATATGGTATGGTTTTGCACATACAGGGCTTGGATCTGCTCTTTCAGTCAGGTAAATCAACAACAGCATTACCAAAAATGATGGCATAGTGATAGCATAAGAATGGAATCAAGCTCCTTCCATAATCTCTGTTATGTTAGCTGTTAACATTATCCATATGCAGATACATAAAGAAAATAGAGCTCCTTTTGTGTGTATGCATGTGCACATAATAATAAATACAGAGACTTAGAAATCATCGTATGAAACATTGTTTTTCTCCAGTTAATTACTGTTTTCCCATTATACCTATATAATCTTATGAGAAATGCCACTGCTGTCGCTCATGGATATATTTTCAGCACCCTGTGCATACCTAAAATGTTTCTAGTCAAGTTCTGTGGAATTTAAGACTACAGCTGGATCTTGGTAAATAAGGACTGGGAATTACTCTTTTGTGAGCCTTGCCTGGGATTTGCTGAATAAAGGCAGGTTAGTAATTTCACTCCTACTATGCAATAACTCTAAACAAACGCCACTAGACCCAAATATTTGCAGCTTTACTTCCTTTCAAAGAGAATGCTAAATAAATTATTCCTACCCTGCACTGTGAAAGCTGGCAATTTCTGGCTGTGATGAATCAGAATGGAGAGGCAATTAACTTCCTTCTGGTACTTGAACAAAGGTTTTCCACTACATTTTTTTTTTTAGTGTAATAGCACCTGTGGCAACACTGCTACAGACTTGCTCACCACGTGGCAGGCCCCTTTCACCAGCTAATATTGCAAAGCCTACTCAAATGTTGGGTTGTTGAGATCCCTCAGTTACACATTGGTGGGTGTTTTAGGGCTGTAGCAGTGTGTCTGCCTTCACAGAGTCAGATTTGAACAGCTCTTCTGTCCCATAAGACCAACGTGGGGCAAAATCTCTCAGGACAACCTTCACATTGCACAGAATGCCCTTGCGGTGGAAGCAGAGTCTGACTAATGTGTTTTCTTGGCCCATTGAAGCCACTCCTGCTTCTCCCCAGCTCTAGCCAAATTCATAGGAGGCAGGCCAAAACAAACAATAAACATTTCTCGCAGAGTTTATTTTAGTCTGAGTCAGATAATCTGCTGCAAGTTTGACTTAAGGCTGCTTCCTTGCCATGAGGAGAAGCTGCATGCTATTTTACTAGGTTTTTGTCTATTCTCTAGAATCCAAGGCTAAAACAAAATGAAACTAAATATGGATTCTGTAGTAATCCAAGCAGTTGGTCTTTAACAGTATCAAAAGCATCTGACTTAGACCTAAGGTGGGTAGAAAACCTCTGGAGACCCGTGTGAGTGTTTCCTCTGTACTTGTATCACAAAAACAGTGTATAAGGTCCCAGGTTTTTAAGCCTGGGGACACTGCTTGGCCCCATCTAGTAAGTCTTTGGGAGTAGTAGGGACCTCTTGACTTGGATAAAGGGAGATCTTGTGTATCAGAACATCAGTGAAGGCTGGAGGTCACTAGGATCAGCAGAGCACAGGGATGTGGTAAGCACAGTCTGAGTCAGGACGAGATAGAAGAGCTCATCAGTGAGGAAAAAGGGGCATCTTCATGTCTCATACTGATCATTTTGCCTTCTGTGGGCATCAAATGCTGAGAGAGCACCAATCTGGAAGGTGTGTTCTGGGGAGATGAGGCAGTAGCCTTGTAAATTATTTCAGCTTTGTTCTGATGCATGTGAGCTTGTTCTGTCATGGGTACAGGGAACTGTTGAGAGTGCTGGGGACTTGTTCAGGATCTGCTTTTCTTATCTTACAGCCTCTGGCCAAAGGAGCTTTTCTCCGGGGGACAGGATTAAATCTGGCAACAGGACGTTTCACAGCACCTGTTTCTGGCATCTACCAGTTTTCAGCCAATGTCCACATTGGTGAGTGTTGTCCACAGAAACATGATGAATTGATCACAACCCTGATTCCCTGTCCCCCTGCACTGCTGTGGGAGGAGAGGGAGATAATAGTGAGAAAAGTTAAACCTGGGAAGAAGGGAGGGGTTGGGGAAGGTGTTTTAAGATTTTGGTTTTATTTCTCATTATCCTACTTTGATTTTATTGGCAATCAATTAAATTAGTCTTTCCCAAGTTGACTCTGTTTTGCCCACAATGGTAATTGGTGAGTGATCTCTCCCTGTCCTTATCTTGACCCACAAGCCTTTTGTTATATTTTGTTATATTTTTCTCTTTCCTCCTCAGCAGGAGGACTTCTCCCACTCTTCCTCTGCTCCAGCTTGGGGTCCCTCCCATGGGAAACAGTTCTTCATGAACTTCTCTGTGAGTCCTTCCCATGGTCTACAGTTCTACATGAACTGCTCCAGTGTGGGTCCCCCACGGGTCCACAGCCCCTGCCAGGAGCTTCCCACAGAGTGCAGGGGAGTCTCTGCTCTGGTGCCTGGAGCACCACCTCCTCCTCCTTCACTGACCTTGGTGTTTGCAGAGTTTTCTCTCACATTCTCCTCTCTCCAGCTGCAGGTGCACAGTTTTTCCCCTGCCTCCTCTTAAATATATTATCACAGAGGCACTACCACCATCATTAATTGGCCTGACCTTGGCCAGTAGTGGGTCTGACTTGGAGCCAACTGGCATTGGCTCTATCAGACATAGGAGAAACTTGTAACAGCTTCTCACAGAAGCCACCCCTGTAGCCCCCCTCCTACCAAACCCAATACAGAAGCCACAAGGTTACTGGTGTCTCTGTTAAGCCAAACACCAGCAACTGGTTGTCCACTCACTTGTGAAAATGCTTATGTTTCTTCCACTGCTTTCCCCAGACCACAGTGAGTTGAAGACTAAAGTCCAGCTCCGAGCCAGAGATAATGTCCGAGTGTTGATCTGCATTGAGTCTCTGTGCCACCGATACACGTGAGTCACTGCAATGCTGTCCTGGCAATTATTTTTCTCAGATAGGCCAATGTTTCAACCAAACTGTGGGAAATCAGGTTCACCAACAGTGAAATTTATACAGTAAATGCTTGTAGAACTTTCCTAAAGAGAGTGATTCCATCTGGCCCTTAGATTTTTAGGTGGTTTTCTTACTCTGATTTTTAACTTTTCAGTGATAATTATTCTAAGTAGCTAAATATTGCATATGTTGAGAGAATTGTGAATGAAACTGGATGTAGCTGAAGGTGCTGAACGCTCAACTATAATCATACACATGCAGGGTGAGATAAACACTTTAATTTTGTGCCAGAGGTTGTTAGCTCAAGTTTTATCATTTCAGCTGCATCCTGAATGGATCACAGCATCTCACTCACGTTGATTGCCATGGAATTGTTGGAGTGATGAGGAGAATAGGTGAAAAACAGAGGTGAATGGGTCCTGAGGCAGAAAGTGCAGGGCTTGTATACAGGGATATACCTTCTCCCAGCCCTCAGCTGCCTTGTGGAACTTGCTCAGATAACCATGCTGGATTTTCCTCTGCTGGGGTCCATTAGCAAAAAACTCTGCTAAGGAAACACTTTTGTTGGGTTGTAGGAACCTTGGGTGTTGCTCCTTATGCAATGGGCCATGGCATCAGCGTGCTCTTTGCTGTGCTTCTGCCATCCGTTCAGCTGCAGCACATAGGTGCTCAGTGTCTTGGAGAAGGCCACCTTGCTCAGGAGGAGTCTGACAAGCTTTGCTTGGAGGAAGGGGCTGGGGAGCCCCTGGACTGGACTGAACTGCACCCAGCAGAGGGCAATGCTGCTCACACAGAGTGGCCACCACCTCTGCTTGTGGCTCAGCCCCTGTCATGGGAGGAAAAATGTTTGGACAGGACTGTGCAGATTTGCTCTACCCTGCCTGCAGCTCTTCCAGTGCAGCTGTAGCAACACCCTTGCAGTAGCACCACTGAAATATATCCATAAAACGACTCCACAGGTGCAACTTAAAACCCACAAAACCATAAACTTGCTGCTGGACTGACTGCTTCAGCCCTCACCTTCCCTGCTCCGTGAGTCAGAGTGCTGCAAATAGGACTGACCTCTCCCCAGGCATTTAAATTCAGAGGCTTTATTGGCAGGTGAATTTGACATGAAGCCTCATGTAATGAGCAAACCTCTCTTAGGTTTCATTGGCTTGTGGAAAAGACTTGATTGGTGTCTGAGTACTCATTAGTAACTAAAGTAAGAGGGAGCTCTGTGCCCACTGACCTGATGGGAAGGCAAGGAGCTGGCTGACTGGAGCAACTGGCACCTCCTTCACCTTATAGACTGGTTTATAAGGGTCTTTTATGATTGCAGCACTTAAAATGAGGCAGTGACAGACTGGCTGCAGTCACAGTGTCAGCAGAAGAATTGGGGTGTAACTTCTTGCCCCTTGAAGGGACACCTTGTATTCTAGCAAGCTGCAGAACTGATGGGACATTTCATTTCTGGCACTCGTGAGAATTCCTTTAGAACATGTTAAGAACGGACCTCAGCTTGATTTTGAAATCTGGGATGTGTGTTGACAGTGAGTGATTTTGGAACAGCCAAGGCCTTTAATCACAGGGGTGGAACAGGTATGAGTAGGGCAGAATGTTTCTGTCCTTTTTACGAGTTAGTCTCACAAATTGCCTTTGCACAGTGCAGATCCCTGTTCCTGTCTCTGCACAGCAAAGACCAGTCAGATTCAGGTAATCAGGTTTTTTCTTTCTTCAGCATTGGTGCTTTTTTTCTTTTCACCTACAACAATCTCCTCTTATTTTAGCCATTTAATCAAGAACAGGACTCATGTCCCTAGCCCTTGGATTCCCCATGAACAGAGGCTGCAAGTTCCATGGAATATGTTTCTACATGTTTTTGGGATGTGGAAAGATATTCCCAGTTGGAATGTGGAAAAATATTGCCAGTTGGTGGTGTTGACATGATGATATTTCAATAAAGGTTTGAGTGAATGAGTGGGTGAGATTTATGAAGCCACCTAAGAGGATTTAAAAGTGAAATTGATCCTGCAGATTTCCAAGAGTGAAAAGCTGTTCTCCCATCCTGATCTCCACTCGACATTGTCTTCAGTTACAGAATCATGCAGAAAATCTAAATTCCATTCAAAGCATTTTGCAAAATAAATGAGTGATAGTGGTGAGTTTTTCTTCCTAATGATGCCCCAAGCTCCCAACTGATTTAATGAAGGCATCTGAGAGAGAACAAAGTGTTTTTCTTTTGGAAGACTCACTTCTGTCTCTGAGGACAGCATCTGTCTGTGTCTCTTTCTCTCCTTTGCTATCCATTCAATCACCCTCACAGTGATATTACTGAAGAATGGATGTCAGTCTCTGGTTGCTTTCAGCATGGATTTAGTCTTGCTTCCTTGTTTGGGTAAATGCAAGGACAAGAGTTACCTGAATGGGAAGCTTCCCTGTGGGCTGTGGAAACTCCTGTGCCTTCCTCATTGCAGGTCTCTTTAGCTGAAAGCTCCTAGAAAACTCTTCTGGTTCTAGCTGGGACGTGTGAACAACCTCTTTGTCACATACAGCCCAGGCAGGTTTATTGGGATGTTTTGAGATTAATTTGCCATCTGAAGAATTTATAGTTACATTCTCCAAAGAACAGTAACAGTAGAAACTCTGTTTCTTAGAACTGACCCAGATGTTAATCATTTAGATAAAGCTCTCTGATGTCTGACTCGGAGTTTTCATCAGTTGTCCAGGGTCACAATTTATGGTTGGTTATCCTGCAAGGCTGTCCTGAGTTGAGTGAGTTGGACAGCAGTGGAGTAAAGCAGGATCAGCACTGACTCTGAGACACATCTGTCTCATATGGTGGATGAGAGCGTGGCTGGTTTGTGGCATGGAAGGAAGATGGGTGGAGAGATGGGAACCTGTCTGGACAGACATTCTGCTGGCACAGGCTGAGCTGCTACCCCGGCTTGTGGAATTTCCTGGGGATGTCAGCGTACACAGTCATTCATTTGAGGGAGCTGAACGAGCCCTGAGGGCTTTCGGCTGAGAGAGATGGAAACTCAGAGGCAAGGAGACAGTTAGAGTAGAAGAGATTAATGGTGGGAAGTTCCCACCCAAGGTAGGCTTTTGGCAGGATATAACACACAGACTGAGCTCTTCAATCAAGGTGGTGCCAAGTGGCTTGCTCTCTCTGGGCCAAATCGCCCCGACCTTCTCTGCATATTATTTCCTTCCAAGGGGGTTGGAAACAGCATGTTTGCACTTGCTAGGTTTCATCACTACCATTTCATGGAAAAAAAGGGAGGAAAGGGATTGGTTTTCTTGGGAAAACAACTAGATCTGCTACCACTGGCTAAGCAGATTTCAGAAGAACCAGCCAGGCATGGAGCTCTGTGCTTTTATGTTAGTTTGGAACTGAGCTTACATGGGTTTTTCTGATTGTTGATGTCTTGGGCATCTCCTTCCACCCTGAATCCTGTACAGAGGAGCAGAGTTAGAGTTGTGCCAACAGAGGATGCCACAGAGAGCAGCTGTCCTGTATCTTGCTACTGCAAGGACTATGATGTTTATTAGAACAGGATATTAGAAAAGAACAGAGCTTGAGGGTTGATCTGGAGCTCTCCCTTGAAATTTAACTGAAACACAATTAGTTCGGGGTTTGGTTTTTGTTTTGGTTTTATTTGCTTATGTATCACTGCTGATCCAGATGTCCTCCCAAAGCAGCTTTCAGCTGCAGGATATATTCTTTCTTGCCTAGGCTGACTATATATATTGTTAAGGTGAAACAGGCCTTTCATACCTTGAAAACGAATTGTTATTGGCAGAATGCACAATATCCAGAGTATAAACTATTGTGGTGGTCAACAAACTGGAATAACTGGTATGTAGGTAAATCCAAAGGGTATGTTTAGCTCCTGTACAAGGGTGGGGGATAGAGACTACAGGATCTTGAGAGAACGTGGCTCCCAATTCCTGCCTCCAGCTGAGTTTTGCCTCCACAATCCTTTGTGCTCTGTAGATCTTCCATCACTACAGTGAGGACAAGGTTCCACTGTTCTCCTTTCAAGGCTGCTGATTACTGCTGGAATCAAGTCAACAGGCCACTTGTTTAATAGAGATGGGCACTAGAGCCACCAGATCCTATTTCTAGGGAGGTCATGAGACTGTTGTTCTGTATGCAATGTTGTGAGGTGTTTAACCTGGTTATTTTTCTTTTGCTGCTGTTTAGGTCTTTGGAAGTCATCGCTGGTCTGGAAAGTAACAGCAAAATCTTCACTGTCTACGTACATGGCTTACTGCAGCTGCAGGTAAACCCATGCAGACTGGGAATCACTGTGCTGGTTTGCTTGGTGGGATGTGGAGTTATTTACTGGCAAGGCTGAATTCTCACCAGGAGGTGGGGAAGTTTTTTATTAACCTTCTGTCTAAGGTTAGTGAAGTTAAATGCCTTACCTGGGGTGACCAGAGAGCCTCTGTGGCAGGAACAGGAACAAAAGCCAGACTTGGGTTGCACGTTCTGGTCTTAAGCCCCATAAGTAACTTTCCCTCTGAGAAGGGACAATAAATATTTTTCTTCCTCAAATCTCACCTTGTGTTGTCAAGGTGGCCATTGTATCTCCCATTTCATAAAGGGAATCTGAAGCACAGATGACCACTTGACTAGTCACCCAAAAAGATGCTAGTGCAGTGAGCATCTAGTGAAGCAATAAACCTATAACACAGTTTCACTACAGGAAGCTTCTTACACCAAGTCAAAGCTGCAGTGTTGCCTTAAAAATATGTGGTTAGATTCTGTTCCCAGGAGCCTCAGAAAATGGCAGGAGGCTTCTGTGCTTAGTTCATGATAATGAAATGCTTTTTTTCCTGCTTTAACACGGGGATGAAGTGTCAGATGTTTTCCTTTCCCTCTCGCTCTCGCTGCAGGCTGGCCAGTACACCTCCATATTTGTGGACAACAGCGCTGGAGCTCCCGTCACCATTCAGAATGGATCAGATTTCATGGGCATGTTCATGGGCGCGTAACACCATCTGCAGCAGGGAAGGAGATGAATTGGAGCCTTGCAGTGTCTATTTGACTGAAGAAACCTTTACTTTGACTCTTGAAGACTTCCTGTAACTGTTGGCATCTTTTTAAACAAGCAAAGAGCCTTTCCTTTCACAGATTCTTCAGCTTGCTTTCAGAGGCTACTGCTTTTCAAGGTCCACACCAGTTCATTCATTGTAAAAAAATATACTCTTATAATTCAGAAGCAAACTCTGTAATATTTAATTTGTGCTTCACCAGATGCTCACTGAACAGTACACTGAGATTTGGAATTTGTTGCGTTATGACTTTATTTCACAATAGCACTTGTAATCAGCGTGTCTTTTGGGATCGATTGTGGGGTATTTGAGTTTGCATATGAAGGATTGAGAGGGGAAGTAAAATAGTGACTATATTCTATGTGTTGTGGAGGAAGGAGACAAGGATTTGCCAGCAAAACTGCTTTTTTGATATGATTGTAAATGGTATAGGCCCTCTCTTGTGTTCAGAATTGGATATATTTGACAAGAAGCACATTGAATTCTCAGACAATGCCTGCTTCACAGATGGGAATCCAAGGTCTGAACTCTTTAGTTGTGGTTCTTTATATCTAAGTATTTCCTTGATCTTATTGATGAAGCTGAATACCTCGCTGCCTGTGCAGTTTTGGTTTTATGAAGAGGTAAGGCCAATGGCACCAGTTCTAGCATGAACTCTCCCTTACTTATGTTCTTATGTTTTAGTAAGATATAGACCTGCTTTTGGACTGCATGGCATGAACAGCATCCCCTCAGGTGCCATAGCCATTTGTAAATGTGTCACGTGCATTACACTGGTTGTCAAAAGCCTGGCAAAGACAGTGAGGGTAGCAGGCTCCCATCAGGTGTGTCCCCTGTTTGGTGCTTGTTGGACTGCATTGAAATAATGAGAGAAAACATTGGGCAAGGCTTAATTCCATCAGGGCTATAGGGAATCTGTCTGAGCTCTGCTTGGAGGTTGAAAGTGCTGTCAAAGACCATCCAAAAGACCATCCAGTGAACGTTTTCTGGGTTTCTACAAATCTGTTTGCATATTGCAGTCCTGAATCGTGGATGTTTGCAGTGAACAAAAGATATTCCTTGTCTGTTGTTGCAATTTTTAATCAATTACAATATCTTCATGCAATGGAAACAAAGACTGCTGGGGACAGCAGAAGATATGAAAAAACTGCCATCCATTGCTGGCTGTGTTCTTCAGGTTGATCAATATCTGATGTTTCTACAAGCTCCAGTAACGCTGCTGCTGAGGTTGGTGGTAAGCAAAGATGTCTTATTTCAAGAGCTGTGGAAAAATCTGCTGTAAAACAGGCGTGGCTGAAGCTTTTTATCATCTCCATTATAAATACCTTGAGACAGATCTTTAAGGGAGGACTAGATGGTATTATTTCCTTTGTGGAGGAAAGTGATTGTTAAAGGAATACGTATCAGAGGAGGAAGGAGAGGGTACAGGGAATAATTAGGTAGTGCTGTTACACAAATAAACACAGGTAAATTCCACTTTCTAGTCTCTGGAATGTGGTTGTTCTAACTGGACCTGTGTGACTGTCTAAAATACAGCAGCTATCAATATTTAAATATTAATTCTTGCTCCACAATACATGCCAGAAAATTCCTGTGGATTTTTTTTTTATAGTACACTTTGAGGAGAATGTGCTTTTAAGCATAAACTGTCTGCTCTGCTGGCAGAGGGGAGTCCACAGCTATCGAAAGGTGTAGCAAGTAGCAACAATAGGCCTTTGGGGAGCTTCAGAAAGAGTCTAACACCTGAATATCACTAAACCCCATCGATACAGATTGGCTGTTTACACTGGTTTTGCTGGAGTGAGTGTAGTCAGGGCAAGTGGCCTGTGTCCCAGCATGGATTGCTAACCTGTACCTTGTACTGTGTGAATATCTGTAAGGAATGGGGCTGTTTCATGCATGATTTACAGTAACATAATCAAAGTGTTGTGACATTCAGCATATGTTGTTCTATCTATAGGTTTGTTTTAAACCAAGTCTCACTGTTCTTGGTAAATCCAGAGTTAAAATATTTATTTTGTTGTAGAAATAAAAACGTTTGTCAGACTTTATTTGGGGATTTGTGGCTCTTTTTTGTTTTTTCCTTTTACTGTGTCATACTCTCATAATCTTCTTAGCAGGATATGAATTGTTCTGCCTTTATTCCTTTATTTCTGTAAGGAGTGCTGTCCTGACGGGTGTTTCCCCAGTGTGCTAGAAGCTGTCTCAATGCACAGTCCTGAGGAACACGAAGAGCTAAAGAGCGAAGGCTTAAATCTCCCTCAGCAGAAGGGGTGATAAGGCCCATGGACACCATCAGAGAGGGAAATAAACCTCTGTCCCTGGTGTCTGTAAGTGACGTGGCCTTTCTGCTCTAGCCAGCAGAGAAGCTTGTGTCACACTCGGATAACACCGGGGTAAGATGCCAGATTAGCAGAGCAAATGGACATGGTGTCTCTTGATTTATCCTGAGTTCACTGTCACTGCTGGAAAGCTCATGGGGACATTTTCATCCTCAGAATAGAGGGTTGTTCCTTATGGAGCTTTCCTGTGCATTACCAAGGTCTTTTAGCCAAAAGACTCTTCTTTTTTAAGATGACTCTTCTTTTTAAAACGGCATGAATTAAATGTCTGGTTTTTTGTTGTTATCAGGGGGTTTTTGTTTGTTTGTTTGTTTTCCTGGGTCCTTCTGGCACCACCTGCATGAGCTGAGGCAGGAGGATATGATGGGAACACCTCACGTCTTCTTTTTTTAAGACTTTTTCAGCTCTGAATGCTTCCAGGCTACAATTCTCTTGTATCCTGGGGTTTCATCCAACACGAGATTGTCCATCCAGCAGTTAGATGGGGCAGAACGGGTTGAAACAGCCAAGAAGCAAACTGAGACTGGGCCTCCAGCGTTGAGGTGCAAGTGTACAAAACTCATGACTAATATGGACACGAGCCTCCTTGGCTGGGCTGCGGCCGAGACAAACACTCCGCGAGGCTTCCGTGCTGTTTGGAGAGTGAGGAGATTAATGGTGTGTGAAGCAAAGTTTCAATGCTCCTCTGTAGTCATAAAATTTATAGTCCAAGAAAATTTAAGGACTCGGGAGGACTGAGTTCAGTATGAAGAAATTGTTTATAACAAAATAAAACCCGGGTTCTCGAGTCTATAGTTTAATGGCCGAGTGTGTTAATCCTACCCAGTGGTGATGGCTATTTGTGGCGTGCGAGGGGAGAAGCCATAAAGAGGCACAAATTAAATGTCTGGGGTTTTTTTTCCTGGGTCCTTCCAGCCTGCTCATGAGCTGAGGCAGGAGGATATGGTGGGAGCACCTCACTGTTGAGGTCCCACTGAGACTGGTGGGAAATTTGGCAGAAGTGCTGGCGATTCACCCCAGAGTACGGGCTTCTGCTCTAGTTCAGCACTTAATTCCAGAGCTCCCTTACAGGTGTGTTCCTGCTGGTGTGGACACTATAAATTTTGTCCTATGAGCTATATGGACAAAAGATTGCTGGGTTGTCCTTGTCCCACTACTTTTCACTGCTCCCATGTTTCCCACTGTGGTAGCTGGCTCGGAAGGGCACGATGCAGTGCAGGATCATGTGGAATCTGCAGGGAATTCTTTCTATTGAATCCACATGGGTCCTTGAAGAACCCTTGGACAGGCTGAGATTGAGTCAGGAGCTGAGCACAGCGACCTCCCTAATGCCAGTTTGTCCAGTTTGCACCCGTGCTCTCTCTGCTAACTACTCCAGACAAATAAAAACAATCACCCAGGCTCTGAGATTCCAGTTGCAGGCACTCTTGGAATATTTTCCCTGGCTGGGAGCTGACAGGTTATGAGGTTTTAAGTTCTATTCAAATCTCAAGTTTTGTAAATGATGTCGATGCCACGCTCCAGACTGACTCCAGGGGTATTTATGTTGGATTAGCAGCAGCTTGCCTGCCTTTCCTCACTTGATAGGAGAGAGCCCAGTACATGTAAACTCCCTCTGAATGCTGGGCTATTAACCATCAAGCAAAATTATTAGTTTGTCATATAAAACTCTCATTCTAAATAGGGACAAGTTATAAATCAGACCTGAGGACAATGATGAAATCAAACAGAAAGAGAGACCCTCTCCAAACCTCTCCTAAGAAGCCTGCAAATAGAAGTGAGCAGCAGTTTGTCAGTGAAGTGTTTAGTCTTCCAGGGAGACTCAAGGGTAATTTGGAAACCATTCTGAATTGGTGAGTGTAGGTAAAAAAGCAGAGTACAATTAGCCCTATAGAGGCATTAATATCTAATATTTAAGGATTAATACCATACACTTTGGCATTGTAATTACTGGGATGGAGAGAACCCAAACAGCAGGCTGTGAAGAGCTGAATCTGTTCAGGTTCCATCAAATGTTAGGGAGCTAGCTGCTGACCCTGTGAAAAATAGAACTCAACACCAAGAAGACTTTGAATCTCTATTGCTTTGTGTCCTGGCTCATATCTATGCAAAGAAGATATCAAACTCTCCTTGGTTACACAGCTGATTCTCACTCAGCAACTTCATTGATGCTCAGGTGAGGCTGGTGTAGATGAAGACTGAAAGGCCATGAGGTGAGGGGTTCAGGTGAACCTCATTTCCTGCAGAGCTTCTAGGAGTCACCATTCCCCTAATAAATAACCAGTGGTGAGGGGAGAGGTTGGCATTTACAATAATAGTGCTGGTGAGCAGGTACTGGATCCCTCTGGAGTGGAGCAGCTGCATCTGCTGGTTAGTCACATAATCTTCCTGTTTGTTTGATGTTTGGGGGGGAACATAAGTGTTTATTGCTATTTAGATGACTTCTATCTACAGGATGAGAAGGGGTATAGTGTTTTTATCTCTCCTGTGGCAATCTATTCTGATTTAAAACACCCTTTGGGCTCCCTGGTAGTCCTGAGAATAAACAAGTTGGGTCTGAAGAGTTGGAAATTATTCTTTCCTTATGGCTTCTTGGAGAGTCTGATAAGTCTGGGAGAGCTGCTAGACTGTGCTTTGTGATCTCACGTTCTTAACAGTGGAAATGTTTTGGCTCCCTTTATCCTGAAATACAGGGTGGGAAAGGTGGGCTGCCAGCTGGGGCAATGATCTTGTGCCTTTGTTGATGGGGTTGTAATATTCCAGAATAACTGCCCTGGATATTAATGTCACTTCA